GGAAGAGAGGGGGGGAGGAGGGGGGGCAGACTGACAAAAAATAAAGACAGACAGACAGACAGACAGACAGACAGACAGACAGACAGGCAATTAAATGAAAGATTTTGTTCCTTCAGAAATGTCCAAAAATGCGGTCTACCGTGGGTCAAAGTAAAATAAACAATAAACAAACAACAACAATAACAACAAAAAACCCAAATAATAACACAAAGACTCGAGGCGGGAAGGAATAAATACGTCGTTTGCTTTATTTGAGAGTGTTCGAAAAACATTATTATGCATACAAAACGACCACTGTGCGAATTGAAGACACGCAATATATATATATGTTGTATAAATTATACAATTGTGAAAGGGTTAGCAGAGGGGAACAAAGTTAACTATGATCGTACGATCACCAGTTCAGAAACAACTTGCCAGAGATGCTGACTCGCAATTGCATAGGACATTTAACAGTAACATAATAAGGGGAGGGGGGGTCTACTTTCCTTTGTTTCATAAAAGCAAATATATGTAAAACAGAAGAAAAAACAGTCTCCTCCCGCCGAATCACACACACATACACACACGTACACACACATACACACATACACACACGTACACACACATACACACATACACACACATACACAAACACACACACATACACACACCAAAAGGAAAAGAATATTACAGAAAAATACTATATAATAAATTAAATAAGATTTAAATGAAAACCAACGGATAACAGGAAAAAAAAAAATAATAATAATAAATAAATAAATGAAAAACCTACAACGAATAAGTAAAAAAAAACCCAAACCAGCCCCCAACACTAAAAAAAACCCAACCCTTCATGCAAAAATAACACTGAAAAAAACCCAACCGTCCCACTGCACATTAAAAAAACAGGACTGCAGAACCATGTGTACATAGTTATCGACACTTACACTGAATGCATAACAATTGCCTTTCTCGGTGCCCTTTCAGTGCATGTGTACCGAACCGATGTGAACATACAACACGTTTTGCGATATGACACGGTTTAAACATCCGTATAAACACAATAAAGATTTCTTAGGAGGAGATATCTCCGCATTTCGACTTAATGCTAAGTCCGATAGGACCGAAGTAAGCAGGTGCGGAGCTTTAAAGTAAACTCCCTTGAGTACCCATGTTCAAGAACGACTCACTGGGGTCTGGAACCACAGTCAACTGTGCCTTAGTTCAGCGTGTGCCAACTCAGGAAACGAAACACAATAAAGATTTCTTAGAAGGCGATATCTCCGCATTTCAATTTAATGCCAAGTCTGATAGGACCGAAGTAAGCAGGTGCGGAGCTT